GTTTTTAAATAAAAATTATTTACATATTATTATTTACGTAGATAATAATTAATTTCATAAGTTTTTAAATTTACCGCTATTATTTAAGTTGGCAGTACCGTTCCTGTTGTCAAAACACATGTTTTCATTTTTCTAACCTAAAAAAATATTTCCTTTATTATTTTATTACGCGATTACAAGCAATTTTTAATCAAATATATTAAGTCTAGCGTGTTATTTACTTCTTTGTAATTATTATATTTCATGTTTTTGTGCAAAATTATTCGTTATTTCACAATATTTTTCCATTTTTCTTTTTCTCAAAATGAAACTTGCCTGTTTCATTTTGATACTTTTACCTTAGAACTCGAAATGAAACAACCAGTTTCATTTTTGTTGCGAATCAAATTGAGTATAGAATCTATACTCAATTTGAATTCAGGTTTTTTCTGTGTAAAAAAAATTTTTTTCTTACATAATCTTACACTCTTACTTTACCTTTTACTAAAGTTTGATACTCTGATACTCTCTTTCAATTTTACTATTTAATCTGAAAATACGTACCTTTTTTGTCTTCGTATAATGTAACAGTATATACTTATATAAACAATAGAATTTAACACCATTAAAAAATAACAATTTTTAGTTCAAATAAAATTGAATTGATTCGCAGTTATGTGACGAATTATTAATTTTAATATTAATCGTAATTAATAATAATATTAATTTTAATAATACAATAAAAAATTAAATAAAAAAATACTTAAATAATAATAAATAAATTTATAATAAACTTGTGATTACTGAAAATGAGTGACAGAAAGAGTGAAACTTGTTTGAGAGAAAGTGAGAGTGAAAAATTTTTGAAAGAAAGTGAGAGTCAAAAATTTTTGAGCTAAAGTGAGAGTGAAAATTTATTGAGTCAAAGTAAGAGTGTGAGTGAAAATTTTTAGAGTAAAAGTAAGGGTAAGAGTTAAAATCTTTTAAAGTGAGAGTAAAAATTTTTTCAGTGACAGTGAGAGTGAAATTTTTTTTAAAGAACGTGAAAGTGAGAGAGAAAATTTATTGAGTGAATGTGAAAGTTAGAGTGAAAAATATTTGAATGCGAGTGAGAATGATAGTGAAAAATTTTTGAGTTAGAGTGAGAGAAAAAAATTTTTGAGTGAAAGAGAATGATAGTGAAATATTTTTGAGTGAGAGTGAGTGCGAGAGAGAAAAATTTTTGAATGAGAGTGAGAATGACAGAAAAATTTTTAAGTGAGAGTGAGAATGAGAGAGGAAAATTTTTGAGTGAGAGTGAGAAAGAAAAATTTTTGAGTGAGAGTGAGAGAGAAAAATTTTTGAGTGAGAGTGAAGGTGAGAGTGAGGGTGCGAGTTACGTGAACGCACCCCAGGTATATGGTACATGTCATTTTTATGTAATAAATTGAATTTTTTAAAATACTAAGAGATACGCACTCGACAATAAGAAGTCTGTCAATCGCCAAAATGGACAAAAGTTTTTGGCAAATTCAAATTAAAAAAAAAAATCTTTGGAGAATACCCCAATAGGTCTTCACAGAGAGTTCCTTACATATAAAATGTGTGAGGCACTTTTTGGAACGATCATTAGAAAAGAAATTTCTTAATTTTAAATTTTCAAAATATTCGTATATATTTATATAATATGTATACGTAGGATAGTGGGGTTATTAAGGAAACGGGCCCTTTTTTCAGTTCCCTCGAACCGCATTTATGTAACCGTCATGATGGGGGTATAACAAAAATTACATCATATTTATTTTTTGGAGATTCACATGTCATAATATTTTCAACGCAATACTAAACAGTAGTGGAATTTTTATAAGTACATTAAAAAAATAAAATTATAAGCCAAAAGTTTTGAAAGTTCAAATAAACGAAATTTTATTACAAAATATTGTTTTAATTATATAAAAAGAAGTTATTAATTTATTAATTGTTTAATTTTCTGTTTTATTTTACATTGACATTATAATTTTTAATAATTTATAGATTGAAAAAAATATTTCATTCATTTTGAACGTTCAGAATACTTTTAGCTCATTAAAATTTTGTTTGATTTTACCAATTGTAGATAATAAAATAATCTAGTTAAAATTAAAATAATGTATTTCATTGGTATAATATAAATTGTAGGTTTACTTTCTATTAAAAAAGAACCTTTTTTTATTGACAAGGAAATGTCTATTTTAAAATCTTACGTTTCACGCGCATACAAAATTATTGTATAATATATATTCAAGATCTGAATTTGTATTGAAAATATGTGTAAGTTTAAAAATATAATTTTATTTGCTGGATTTAAGGTGGCAAATATATTTCAATAAGAAGACGGCAATATTATTCAATTTGTTAAAAAAAGGTGTCAAGGATTTTTGACACACTATTTCCTATATAAACATATATATATATAATATATACGGAAAGTAAATGTAAATTTTCACCCACAGGAAGTCCCCAGGATTGTGGGTTCTGAACAAATATTTTACTGACCGTGACAAACAGTTGCTAATCTGAGTTTTAAGACCATCTTAACGGTTTGAGTATATTATTGACTCAGGGGTAATAAAAATTATAGGTTTCATTGGTAGGATCGATCTCGTTCGTCTTCTACACATACCTATATATATATATATATATAGGAGGGGGTTTTGATTTTTCTTTTCAACTCCGTGGAGATGGTGACTGTGAATAAAAATCCACAGCTGGCGTCTTCGTCTCCCATCGTCAGCCCTAGTTTTTCGGGGGTATTGTACTTTGAGCACGGGCTAGACTTTTGTTCCTTACGATGCTATTGTCCCGCAGAATCGTCTGGTGCAGCGGGTGACTTACGATAAAAAGGGAAGAAAAAATTAATAGTCGAGTTAAGCCGTATAGGGTTTTGCTGTGAGAAGAAACACTGATAAGTTGCCAAAAGACGATTTTACTGATCTTCTCTCCTATATATTAAGAGGATTTAAGCAATTTATGTAAAACTGTGACTTCTAAATATCTGTATTTTATAATCTTTGACACCTTCAAAATTTCACACCAAGCTCTCTTTCCTGTTTTTTACGAATTCAACTGTTTTATTTCATAAAATCAACCCGAATCTCCAAAGGATTAAACAAATAACTATATCTATAATATCAGTTTAATTTTGGGATAATTAATCAACGTTCGAATTCAGCATAATTTCTATAACTGATTGCATCAGTACACTACTGTTTAGTCAAGAAAAACTTATCTAAAATTCTGAACAGTATACTGTATCACTAAAGGGTTAAATGATATGATAAATTAAAGTGAAGAAAATGTCGAATCGGTTAAGTTCGAATATATAATACACTGAAAATGAAAAGGAATTACATGTACAGGAGTAGAGCGGCGTTATGGATCGATGCCTTATTCTTTCGTATATATATACTATATAAAACAATTTTAGACGAGACTCGCGTAGCAAGGTTATGATGAAAGACGTTAAGCTTTGCCTCGGGGAGATCCCCTTAGCATGACAAAAAGACATCTGCTTGGCACGAGCTTGCTTTACGGAGTTCCTTTCAGCAAAACTAGCTTCATCCTTGACGAAAAACTCTCTTCCCGTTTTCTGTACTATAGGGCGGGAGCATAAGCTCATGCTCGAGTAATCTTGAACGATACATATCTGTGTGGCATTTAATGGGAAAAAAATGATACACCAACTGTAATCAACGAGCATACTGTTTTAAAAGAGAGACGACAATGAACACCTGGTATAGATCTATATCATTCATTATAACTTTCTGAAGGCGCATGAATATTTCTCAACACAGAAAAAAATCCAGGATCATTTTGATCCGCAGCAAAAATGAGCCCAGGTTTTAAATGAATACTTGATTTCTCCAAAAAAATTTTCATTTTGAAAAGAAACTTAAATTTAATTCCTATATTAAAATTTTGAAATTGATTACAATAGTCTATAAGAAATAATTGGATAACTGGAGCTGCGCCACTAATATAAAATATTACTGTATTACTTCCTATGGATAGAGATTTAATGACGATCATTGGACAATATTCTTTTGGTTCGTGATTTTGGCGAAGCATATCAGGAGCATAACCATCATCGAAATGCCGACCTCTAATCACACACTGGATTTACAGCCTATATGTGCCTCGGCCTAAACAGAGGAGAACAGAACCAATAGCCCCTGAAGTGCAGAAATGGGTCCTATGAATGCTCACCTCACGTTACACTATAATCACCGCGGCATTATTCAAGCGTTTCGTATATAAGGGTACGTGCTTCACTGCCCCCTATATATATATATACAACAGACTTAAATCAATTTTATGGTAAGCTTCAGGAAATAAAACGTCGTCTGATATACACTCAAGACAATCAAGTGAATTTTAAAGTTCATTAACAACTCCTAAACTATACTCGCCTTTAAAACTTATTATACCTCATTGAAATTGTTGTCAAAAAGTTGAATGCATCAAAGTAATGGAAAAATTTACGTATTATATCACTTTCACTTGGTTAGGTGTAAAAAAATTTTGTTTTCGTTTCCTTCCAAGACGCATACAGGTGAAGGGTCAATGTTCACAGTCTGTTTTACATCCGGTTGATCAGTATGACAGAGGACGAATATCTGTGAGCATTTTGTGAATTTTGAATTACGATAGGACAAAATGAAGATATCAAAGAGAAGGCCCAAAGAGAGGACAGAGTTATACTATGGGAGTGGAATGTGTGGTCGCCTCATCTCTACAGGGCTGGACCCTTTCATAAAAATGCAAATCACTCTCTTCCAAGACTGCAATTTTAAAATAAGGCATTTTTTTATTATCTTTAATCCATAACAATTTATATAACAAGCATTAAAGTTAAATTTTCAAAAATCACACATTTTCACTCTATTAATTCTTAACACTGTACATGTAAAATACATTATGTACAGTAATGACAATAAAAATTCTTCCATTTAGAAAAGCAACATTTTGTGCATACTTTAGGGTAACAATTAAAGATTTTTTAATTATGCGTAATATTATTTATCAAGTATTAAAACATTCGATAAAACAAATGCTTAAAGCGGCCCTGGAACCCAGATATTTTACTGTCCTATACTCTCTGGCACTCATTCCTCTAGTCCTTCCAAAACGATTTATCTTATGAAACAGCGCCACAAAAATAATTAATTGCTGTTTTGGCTTTAAGCGAATTTATAAATTACAAAGTATATGCGTATGTGTCAGTATAAAAAGGGATCGTATTTTCAATATTGAATGAATATTAAAAATTCATTTCAAAATAGCGTATAGACGATAGTAGATTACAAAAAATTTACAACAAATTTTCGAATGGCAAAAATTTTTCAAAATTTGATATAATTTTTAAAGAGAAAAAAATGCCATATGAAAGCATGCATAAACACACCTGTAAATGAAAAAAGTCAATTTTTATTTATAAAATTATTTTCTCTTTAATATTATAAAAAAAGTAAAAGTTTTCTTATTACCATAATTAACAAGCTATTGTTCAATGTGAAATATCCGTATAGCTTGCATGACAATCTCTGCAATTTCACATCCTTGAAACCAGAAGGTGAATCCATCAGGAAGAGCGGTGTTGTTTTCAATTTAGCTTCTTCAGACATTATTCCTCTTTTGCAACTCTAAAAGAAAATTTATTTTTTCCATTATAATTATTCTCATTGTTTTACGTCTAAAATATCTTTTACACAATTAATACTTCTTTTACTCTGGAACTCAAAAGTTTTATATAAACTCAAAGTCAAACAACTTTTGGATAAGTTTCACTAAATAAACCTTTCTCCCACAGCACCGAAACTTTCCTAAAGATTTCCTAAAGATTTATTTGAAATGTTCGGAATATTAAATATACCGAACATTTCAAATAAATCTTTAGGAAATCTTTAGGAAAGTTTCGATGCTGTGTGGGTTGGGATTTTCAAATAATTAAAATTTTCTCAAGTAAAATATTTAAAAATTAAAATTCTCTTCTTTTAAAAAATATTGTTTTTCGAAACTTACCTCATTCACAATGGAATCGCAAAGTTTGCAAATGATGATAATCTCATAGATGGCTTGAAAGATCAGAAAAATTTCCCTCAATGGCAGAATATCGTTTGTCATTAATTTCTCCGGAGTGAAGTAACTGTAAAGATAATATAAACTGCCAAGTGTTGCCGCTGTCACTGAAATCATTTCGAAGAACAAGTATGACTCATAAATGTCAATCAGCTGATTCCAAACTTTCGTCACGATGCAGTGGCGCCAAACTGCTACTTTTAAACCCCAAATTCTGTGAGCGAGAGAAAGATGCGAATTTCTCAATCTCTTGTACTGGTTGTTCGTCTCAATCAATTGAAGATAAATGATCACTCCAAACGTGCAAAAGGACGAGTGCATAACCACAAGTCCAACATGATTGATAATCTGAAATATTTTTCCAATGCGAATTTCTTCATTTCCAAACAAATTGATCACAAAAATCGCAAAGATCATCATTGGAAACCATATATTCACAAAACATAATCCTCTATAGAGAGAATTGTTTCGATCATATTTCCTTCTTTTAATCTCGCGGATATTTTTCTCCAATTTGACAATATCCGAAATTAAATATTGCACTGCATTCGGTCGAAAAATACTCCGAAAACAGGTGCACATAATTTTCATCAAATTTGACCAGTGGAAAATAAATGTCACTAGTTTGTAGACTACGCCATTGGTACTTTCCATATAGGCGGGAAATTCAAACAGAAAATTATAGAAAACAATTATCACATGAAATAATTGTAAAATTAATGTCATTTTTGTATAATGATTGTCCTTTCGAATAATTTTACCAATACCAAAAAATGAATAACCAAAAGAAAGTGATTTTAAGTATTTTTCTAGTTCCTTCATTTTCGTTTGCAATTTTATTAATCTTTATATAATTTCTAATATAATTGTAACAATTTATATAAGGATCCTGTAAACATGTTTTTTTTTGAATTTTTAAAAATTTATTTTAATTTTCAAAAAATGTTCTCTTTTTATTGTTTTTACAATTTTTCGAATTTCATATAAGTAATTTTTAAATTTAAAGTTCAATAAAATTTTTAATTTACACTTTTTAAAATTTAGTTTTTTCTATTTTGCAAATTTGTTTTTTTTTATTTTTCAAAGTGTTACAAATTTCTACTTCACCATTTTTCATTTAGTTGAGTAATTTTTCAACAATTTCAGTTTAAGAAATTAATAATAACAAAGTATTAATATACTATTTTAAAATTAATTTAATTAATATAAATGTATTGTTAAAATGTTAATTAGACTTTGCAAATGTAATTTAAAACTGCATACTTTTTGAATGCACTTGTTTAATTAGCTACGATATTTTGAGTGCAGTGTTTAATGAATACAAGATTAGAGGTGGTATTCCGTCCGGTGTTAGTGATTTACTAACGTTTGAACTATAAACAAATGTACGTGGCCAAAGGACGCGGAAAATGTTACTGTAAAGCCACGTATGTCATGTGTATATCGATTTCTTCTACAAGGATATGAAAATTACACCACAACTGACATTGACTCTCAAAATAAGTGGTTTCTTTAAACACGTCATAATATATATATTTTTTTTTGCTAATACCGCAAAAAGTTTACAATTTCCCAGGTAGAAAAATTAACATTACTAACGTTACTAATATTACTAATGTTACTAACGTTAGTACCTATAAAAAAAAAGAAAATGTTTCTAAATTGTGTTTTTGCAGAAACTTGTCGAAAATCGACCACCAGGAAGTATTTAATGTTCTTATCCGCACTTTTTATAATTTTCATTTCTATTATCACTTCCACTTTTTTATTTTCATTACCGTTTCCACTTTCACTTTTTCTAATTTTCATTCGCACTTCCATTCCCACTTCCACTCTTTCTAATTCTCATTTCCACTTTCACTTCCACTTTTTAATTTTCATTACCACTTCCACTTTTTCTAATTTTTATTCCCACTTCCCTTTTTCTAATTTTCATTCCAACTTCTACTCCCATTTTCTCCACTTCTAATTTTCATTAGCTGTTGCCATTTCGACTAAAACTTTTTCTAATTTCCATTTACACAACCATTTCCACTGTTTTTAATTACCATGGATGGAAATTAGAAAAAGTGAAAGTGATAATGAAAATTTAAAAAATTAGGAATGAAAGTGGGAGTGAAAATATAAAAAAGTTGTAATGAAAATAAAAAAGTGGAAGATGAAATGTGGAATGAAAATTGGAACAAGTGGAAGTGAAAGTGTGAATGAGAATTAGAAAAAGTGGAAGTGGCAATGAATATAAAAAAGTGGAAGTGGAAATAGGAATGGGAATGAAAATTAGAAAAAGTGGAAGTGGGAATGAATATAAAAAAGTGGAAGTGGAAATGGGAATGAAAATTAGAAAAAGTGGAAGTGAAGTGGGAATGAGAATTAGAAAGAGTAGAAGTGAGAATGGAAGTGCGAATGAAAATTAGAAAAAGTAAAAGTGGAAATGAAAATGAAAATTATAAAAAGTTTAAGTGGAAGTGATAGTGAAAGTGGTAATGGGAAAGTAGTGGCAAAGTTTCTGTGAAAATATATTTTAGAAACTCTTAATTTTTTTATAGGTACTAACGTTAGTAACATTAGTAATATTAGTAACATAAGTAACGTTAGTAACGTTAATTTTTTCACCTGGGTTACTTCTTTGAAAAAAAAGAGAAAGAATTTTTCGCCTTCATTTAAAAGAAAAGCTGATTGAAAGATGACAAGTTTGATTTCTTTAAACTTCTTTTTAAATTTTCTTTTTAAAATGAAAATTTTCATTTACTTCAAAAAAAACATTTTTCTTAATTATTTGAGAGAAAGTTTATTAAAATATGACCTTTTATGTTTTTCATTTCTGAATTCCACTTCTATTTTCTTCTATAAAACAGAGAATATTCAAAATGTCGGACAAATTTTAAAAAAAAATCATTTTTAATAGCAAACAAGTTTGTAAAAATTAGTTTGATGTATAATGTTAAATTAATTTTTTAAAATACAATTTTTCTCTACCATCATTTGATCGAGTTATTATTTTAATTAATAACTTGTGTAGAACCATATTGAAAAAAGAGAAATTAAAATGTGAGAACAATAAGATGGGCATTTATACTCCTGCAGGCATTCCATCAAGTTAGATATTGAGAGTAGGGACGCAAAGGAAGAGAAAAGGATATTAAAGGATGCGGCGCCGCCGTCGAAAATCTTGAAGGGTGTGGGACGAATCTTCCTTTATCTCATGCTATATGGCTGTTCCTAAAACTTTAGTTCGAAAATCGATTCAAGATCTTCTTTCTTGACAATCATCCGCTAAAAATTGCGAAAGTACCTTTAAAATTCAATATCACTATTAAAACACTTGTGATAACAATTAAATATAATAATTATTAAATATTTGTAAAAAGTTGTTAAAAAAGTTTTCAATTTAAAGAATCTATAAAATTTAATATAACTTTCGAATGACAAACGATTCTGTAAAATGATAAGGAATGAAACAAAGAAAGAAACTTAGATTGCGATTTCCCGCGCTTTTTAAAGGCAACAAACCACTTGTTCTGTTGCTTCACGAGGGTCGGTTTAAAGACCCAGAAGTAGAGACTAAAGTGGGGATGGCATTTTAAGACCAGACAAGTAGAGAATGCTGTGCGAAGAATATGTATGTGTATATACACACAAACAGGTGTGTAACTACGGCATGGACTCACGTGGGCCTTTTTGGGTCTGTCACAACCCAACCCACTTTCGTAAGTTGATTCACTGGCATCCAAAGTACAGCGCGCACAAACTGCGAACTCACTTATATTAGTCCCTCTAACAAGTTATATACTTATGCACAGAAAAAACCTGAATTCAAATTGAGTATAGATTCTATACTCAATTTGATTCGCAACAAAAATGAAACTGGTTGTCTCATTTCGAGTTCTAAGGTAAAAGTATCAAAATGAAACAGGCAAGTTTCATTTTGAGAAAAAGAAAAATGGAAAAATATTGTGAAATAACGAATAATTTTGCACAAAAACATGAAATATAATAATTACAAAGAAGTAAATAACACGCTAGACTTAATATATTTGATTAAAAATTGCTTGTAATCGCGTAATAAAATAATAAAGGAAATATGTTTTTAGGTTAGAAAAATGAAAACATGTGTTTTGACAACAGGAACGGTACTGCCAACTTAAATAATAGCGGTAAATTTAAAAACTTATGAAATTAATTATATCTACGTAAATAATAATAAATAATTTTTATTTAAAAACTTCTAAATATTCGTACTGGTCAAAATAATCTTTCTGGTGTTGTTGAAATATTAGAAACAATAATTGAAATACAAAATTACTCTGCTTATGATGCCAACTTAGAAATCTGAAATTCCAGCCAATATCATTTTGAATAACATGAAGTTTGTCCCATACTCATTTCGATACCCAAAAGAAAATGAGTTGCAACAAAAATGAGTCCAAGTTTTTTCTGTGTGTATATCCCCATTTAATAGTCTCTTTGATAATTGAATTTATTTTATTGGAAGTGTAGGAAATTTTCATTTCTGGGAGGAATGAAGACGAATCTTGCTTCCAAGGGCGCGATAAATTCAATAACTTTTGACATGATGAAATTGGAATAGAATCTGAATATTCTGCCATTGGAGACAATCTCTTTATAAGGCTGCTAGGGAATTTTCCTTCTTTTTGCTCTTCCACCAATCAGATTGCTATCAACGGTTGGACTTTCTGATTGGTTATTGTAATTTAAAACAAACGATTTTATTTCTCTAAAATACGACTATACACTAAATCTGAATCAGTGAAAATTTTACTGAATTCAAATCAGTGGCTCAGTTTTCTTTATAATTCACCAGTGGAATTTCACTGAGAATCAGTGGTTTTTACTGATTCCCAGTGAAATTCCATTGGTTATTTAAAGAAAACTGAGCCACTGATTTGAATTCAGTGAAATTTTCACTGATTCAGATTTAGAGTGTATACGGAAAAACTTTGTTCAAGAATCATTCCTAAATTTGTTCAGGAACTGCTCTCTAAATTTGAATCAGCGATAAGTATACCACTGGTACCAATCAGCGGATATACGCTGAAAAATCAGTGAAATTCCACTAATTCATCAGTACATATAAGCTGATTAGAATCAGCGAGATTCCTCTGATTCAAATTTAGAGAGTGAGGATATGAGAAAAATTCTGCAAAATTTACAGAAAAATACAAAAATCTATGAAGAAAATACTTGTATTTTTATTATGACATTGGAAGACTTCTTGTTAATGCCGCGATCGGAATATCTCAGTCACTGGGCGTTGAAAGTTTCTTGAACTGTTTTAGAAGACACAGTACAGTAACCAAGCACTAGGCAGGGATTGG